AGTAGTAAAACATGTTTCTCAGCCCAAAATATCATTTAAAAGATCATTTAAGTGTTAAAACAGTAAACTTGGCTGAGTACAAAAACAGTGAAATATAACAAGTCTGAGTTCAAGTATAAAGTCAAAATAGTGAGGAAATACCAGTAAAAATCCCCGAGGGGTTCAAATAGTTGGCACAAGGCGCAAATATGGCATTCAGCCCAAATCATGATGATAGCAAATAGATTTCAGTCAAATACGCGGTAAAATAGTCATTTGGGACAGACCAAGTCACAATTCCCAACAGTGCACGACCCCACACTCGTCATCAAGTGTGTACATCACCTCAATATAGCATAACAATGTGCAAGTCCGGGGTTTCATACCCTCAGAGCAGCATTTACAATCATTACTCACCTCGAACCGGTCAAATCTCTAGCTCGCGATGCCTTTGCCCCTCGAATCGGCATCCACTCGCATCGAATCTATCCAAAATCAGAATGAGGACGTCAAAATATGCTAAGGGAACGAAGCCCAAGCGAAAACAATCAATAAATGGCACAAATCCCGAAATTACCAAAACCTGACCCCCGAGCCCACGTCTCGAAATTCAATAATTTTTACATCAATAGATTCCTTATCTCCCTACGAGTTCATACATATCAAAAGTTCAGAAATCCGACCCCAAATAGTCCTTCAAATCCTCAATTAAAGGCCTAAGTTCTCAAGCCCTAGTTCCCCAATTTTCACCCTTAATCTCCACTAAAACCATGATTAAACAATGAAAAAATGATCTTAAACTCAAGTAATTAAGCTTAGGGAACTTACCCAACTGATATCCTTTGATTCCTCTTGAAATCCTATGCCTTAGCCTCTTTCCCGTCTTCAAAAATGATAAACTTATCAAAATTTCGCGAAGAAGACAATTTATACCTTCTGCCCAGACCTTTTCGCATATGCGGTCCCATACCCGCTTCTGTGGTACCGCAATTGCGGTTCAACGTCCGCTTCTACAGAATCACTTAAGTTCTCAGCCATCCGCATCTGCGGTTCCTCGCCCGCATCTGCGGTTCCTCGCCCGCATCTGCGACATTGCAGATGCGGTTCTCCTAACCGCTTCTGCGGTCCCAGTCAAACATACCTCTGGTCGCTTTTGCGGCCACTCTCTCGCATATACGGCGCCACACTTGCAGTCCCCAATCCGCAGGTGCGAAAATACCAGAAGGAGCATTCAACAGCTGCAACAACAATCCAAACTTCCCGTTAACCTTCCGAAATCACCCCGAGGCCCCCGGGACCTCAACCAAAAGCACAAATATATCCTAATACCTTATTCAAACTTGTTCCAATCATCAAAACACCTCAAACAACATCAAATCACCCAAAACACATCGGAGTGAAGCCAAACTTTCTAAAATCTTCTGAATTCCGCTTTTGATCAAAAACCCAACCAAACCACGTCCGAATGACCTGGAATTTTGCACACACTTCCCAAATGACCCAACAGAACTACTGCGACTCTCAGAATTCCATTCCGACCCCTATATCAAAATCTTGCCTATTAACCGGAAATCGCCAAAATCTCAACTTCGCCAATTCAAGCCTAAATCAACTCCGAATCTTCAAAACTCATTTCGATCGCACTCCTAGGTCATAAATCACCTCCAGAAGCTAACCGAACCATCAGAACTCACATCCGAGCCCTCTAACACATAAGTCAACATCCGGTTGACTTTCCAACTTAAACTTCCTTAAAAGAGACTAAGTGTCTCAAACCTTACCAAAATCATTCCGGATTTGATCCGACCAATACGATACCACAAAATACGGATAAGGAAGCATAAAGAAACAGAAATGGGGAAAATGGAGCGGTAACTCATGAGACGACTGGCCGGGTCGTCACAATTGGTTGAGATTTTGTATCATTATTTTACTTTCCCTGCAACTATGGACGATGTGTATATGAACTAGAAGTGAATTTTTGGAAATCTACTTTACCTTTTGGCTTATTACAGTTATCTAACCTTCTTTGCTAATCATGTTTTTGTGCATAGATATTGGTGGTTCCTCGCATAGATACAATCCCATGAAATTTATATATTTATTTTTTGATTTAATTCTTTTGAATGTGATCGCTAAATTTAATCTACAATAAAGACATGTTTCTACTATATCATTTTTTTTTGAAACGATGCGGTACGTATACTAGTGATAAAGAAAGAAAATGTCTTTTACCGTTTAGATTATACATATCAGAAATAATATGGCCCAATTTTGCTTACGCAGTTAGATTTGTCTTTAGGATTGAAATTTTGAGAAATATAAAATACGAAAAGAGGCAGGTGCAGTCCTAAAACTACATATCTATCCATATGATCACAATGTTAGAGAAAGCGATTGTGCTGAAATAAATATAAATCATTCATAATTTAGAAATGTCTATACTTATTAGGGTTTAATATTTTATTAAAATAAATTTTATGACCGCGCGAAGCGCAAATAAATTTACTAGTATATATATAAAGTTGAGCCTCACATAGTTGATGTGGCATACCTCTAAAACCTGTATACCTATTTTTCTTTTATCTCCTTGTTCTGACATTTCTTCCTTTTCTTTTAATGCTCCAGCATCAAAGAAGATGCCTTTTCCCATCCCCTGAATAGTTACTTCACTTTAAATTCTTATTAATTACTCTCCCAAATGTAACGTATATCCTCTCTAAAATTTGTACAGACTTTTTAATCTTTATCCACTCCTGAATATTCTTTACCCACGAAACCAACAAATATCAGTACCTTTCTCCTTCTTCTTCCTTTTTCTTCAAATTTGCAGGGGTTCTGGTGATCTTTTATCGTCCTTTTGATGTGGGTTTGGAGCAGTTGAGACACAATCATCATAATCACCTTCAGATTTTTTTTTATTTTCTTGTGGACACCTTTAATTTTGCTTTCTTCTTTTTCAGCATTAACATCTAAACTTACTTGTACACTTTAGCAGTGACGAAGATAACAACAGTAGAAAGCAATGCCATAAAAAGGTTAGGAAGTTTTATTCAGTCATAATTCATTCATTGTTTATGCAGTTATTATTTGAAAACTAGCAGTTCAATGCGATTTGTGTATTAGTTATGCATATGGCAGTTTTTTGTCGAGAAATATACGAAATTTGGTCTGATCTTCAATTTTGTCACAAACATTTATGTCGGATGCTTACTGGACGTGCTTCAACGGCCAGATACTGACGGCATCTCTTTCTCATATCACCGAAAAATGCCCTCGGACTTTGATGGTACTCCCATGCTCTCTTTGAAGTCATTAATCTTTATCAATTCATTCTACGTCGTTGTTTTTTTCAGAATTAGCAAAAACTAGGTTTACTTCTTTTACTTAGTAGAAAACATATATACGTACTTTCTAATTTTTACAACAGTTATTGGGTGTACGAGTCGTCTCAACCCGTTCATTGTTAGAGATACAACTATTAGCTGATGTTATCGCTATGAGTCTATCAAGAAGCCTAATTTTAAGAGAAAAATATATAGAATTCTGATAGGTAAGTTTATACTTTATAGGTTTTTTAAATAGATATCCGGAAAAACTATTGATGCTTGATGAGATTATTAACTAGGTGCAATCCGATCCACTGCCAAGTTGAGGTTAAATTACTTAGATGACATTAGTTTTAGAGTGTGCAAAATCGGACTTTGCAAACTTGGTGTTCAATTTTTTTGGATAAATGATTTTTTATTTGTTTTGCCCAAAAAAGAGTAAAATTTAAAATATTTTCAACCTTAGTTTTTCAAATCTTTCAAAAACTCAAATATTAGTCATTAGTTTCAATTTAAGTTCCAAATGATGTGAGTTAAACTTTAGAAAGGTAGCTGAATTCTGTATGTGTGCTTCATGTAGTTTCTATCAATGAAGTTAAGTCTGAATCCAAGAATGGACTTCAATATAGAATGTCTTCTCTTCAAGGATTTTCAATCAGAGCAAACTTATGGTATTACTCACGAGTTTTTGGCTATAATTGTTCATGAATTTTGTGACAACTTCAGATTATTCATTCCATTGGATTGTGTCGCATCATACTAACAAAAGTAGCTGCAGAGTTTGGATTCCAGAGTTATGAAGTGTATTTAGAGAAAAATTTAGTTCATCAGATCTGTTGAGAAAAACAACAGTCAAATTATACTGAAAAACTCTTAGTACAAACCTTATTCCTATTCAACTTGAAACATTCGTTTAGTAGTGACATAATGACTTATTGCCTCCTCTACAATAGCATTATAAGCTTCATCATCCTCTTTTCCTTTTCAGTTGCAGTCTATCGTGCTCATCCTTTCTTCTTTATAATCACTCTGTTTAATAAGTTTGCTTGAATTCCTATTTTTTTAAATATTTTTCTTAAATTGTCTCATGCGAGAAGATAGCAATGATATATCAAGATTAACCTTTATTACAATCTTTAGTTGGTGATTTAGAGTATCGCCTATTGAATTGTTAAAATTGTTGTCTTGTCACTGCTTCTACAATTGTTCAATGTGATTGGGACTATTAAAGATACATGTTTAATTGCTGTCACTTCACTCATGCTTTACGGCCTTGCCGAGTTATGGCTCCAACTTTTGTTACGTTTTTCACTTCTTTTAACCGTTTTAAATGGATTTCAATTTGTAATACACATACACATTAAAAGTGACTATATGCATATACAAGAAAAATAATATACAAGAAAAATATAATCAATTCTATATAAAAAATATTTACAATATATCAATTGCGCGGGCTATATCACTAGTAGATAATAAATTTGTACTAATGTAGCCTCTTTAACTGCTAAGTATTGCTTTCATCTTCCGATACTTTATTGCAAAGGTACATACTATATCAACATTTGGAATATCCATTCAATCTTTGCTCCTTTGAGCTGTGATGACCCAAAATGTATCTCGTATTTTAAGATCCAATTCGGGGTTTCGAGGTCTTCAAAACCTCATTTCCTTCCTCCTCGATTTACGTGCGTAGTCCAAGCGCATTTCCGAAAAGCCTTTATGTAAAATTTGAGAAACAATATTGAGTTTGCCTTTAAAAATTGATTTAAGTTGACTTCGGTCAATATTTTTAGTGAACGGACCTGTACCCGTAATTTGACTGTCCCGGAGGGTCCGTAGTAAAATATGAGACCTGGGCGTATGCCCAGAATCGAATTCCGAGGTCCCTAACCTGAGAAATGAATTTTTGAAAAAAATTGTTAACTGAAAAATATAGTTATTTTGTTTAGAAATTGAACAATGCTTGAACTTGTTGGTATCAGGTCCGTATTTTAGTTCCGGAGCATGGTACAGGTCCATTATAATATTTAAACCTTATCTGTGAAATTTGGTGAAAAAACGAAAGTAATTTAACGTGATTCGGACGTCTAGTTGTGAAAATAGAAATTTCAAGTGATCTTAAGGATTTAATGAGTTTGGGGTTAAATTCGTTGTTTAAGATGTTATTTTGGCAATTTGATCGCATGAACAAGTTTATATGATATTTTAAGACTTGTGTTCATGTTTGGTTTGGAGACCGGAGGACTCGGGTGAGTTTTGGATAGGCTACGGAGTAAGTTTGGAACTTAGAAATCTGCTGTTGCAGCTGATACCTGTGTCAGGCCTCTGATCTCGCAAGGCTTCGCATTTGCGAGCTTAACAGTCATGGCAATTGCAAGGTCTTTATCGCAATTGCGAAGAAGACCTAGGACACCATGAGTTCGCAATTGCGAACATATCTTCGCATTTGCGACAAAAGGATTCGCATTTGCGATAGTAGCAAAAATGCAACAGGTTCGCATTTGCGACGCCTGTCTCGCATTTGCGAGTTTCGGTGAAGCTTTGGTCGTAAATGTAACATCTGTAACTGTGCAAAAAGGGACTTAGACGGGATTTTTGATTCATTTCTTAAATTTTCAAACTCTAAACTTCTAGAGGCGATTTTCCAAAGACCAATTCTTCCCCAAATCATAGGTAAACGATTTCTAACTCTTTTCTTTCAATCTATCTCATCTTTCTACAAGATTTCATCACAAAATTTAGGGATTTTCATGGAAAATTAGGTGTTTTTGGGTAGAATTTAGGAATTTTAAAATTTGGGGATTTAGACCTCAAATTGAGATCGAATTTTAAAACCAATTGCATATCCGAGCTCGGGGGTGAATGGGTAATTGGGTTTTGGTCCGAACTTCGAGTTTTGACCAAGCGGGTCCGGGATCGATTTTTGACTCTTTGGGGGAAAATGTTAGAGAATCTATAATCATGCATTAGTATTGGTTTCTTTGGCATTAGTTGGTGTTAATAAGTAATTATGCATAGATACGAGCGGATTGAAAGTGAAAACTAAGAGAAAAGCGGTATTTAAGGCTTGAGCTTGGCCTTGGAATCGAGGTAAGTGTCGTGGCTAACCTAGCTTGAGGGATTAGGTATTGTTGCCTTATTTTCTACTTGTTTACTTGTTAAGTACGATGTATATGTAAGGTGACGAGTATCTATACATCGTTGTCAGGTCATAGCATGCAAGGGAGTCTTATACTTGTGACCGTTGTGTTTCTTTGTATGTATTGTTCCTGCTTAAACTAGTTATTACTCATGTTAAACAAGTCTTATTATGTTTTTTTCCTGGTTTTGGATATTGGTTGAGTATTGGCTTCAGTTGAGATTTCTGTTGTGAAATTGAGTGATGAAACGAAGTTGTTTGATTGTGATGCCCTTGCCGGGTTATTATTGTTTCTGTTGTTTCTTATGGTGAGGAAGAGTGATAAAGCACGAAGGGTAATGCCGTGCACATTTATATTATTCATATGGTGAGGAAGAGTGATAAAACACGAAGGGTGATGCCGTGCACATTTATATTGTTCATATGGTGAGGAAGAGTAATAAAGCACGAAGGGTGATGATGTGCACATTTCTATATTCATATGGTGAGGAAGAGTGATAAAGCACGAAGGGTGATCTCGTGCACGTTTCTATTATTGATTGCATGGTGAGGATTGAGAGTAAAAGCACGAATGGTAATGCCGTGCATTTTCTGTTTACTGTGTTTATTTGTTGTTATCGGTTCAAGTGTACTAGCTGTTTAGATTTTCTTTATTGTTGTGATTCTGTATGTTGGAACCCCCATAGCATGTTGCTCCTTCCCGTTCATTTCTGCTTAGCTTTTATTACTTGTTATTCTGTTAGTATATTATTTAACTGCACAGGTTTATGTTATTTGTCGTGTCCTAACCTCGTCACTACTTCGCCGAGGTTAGGCTTAGCACTTACCAGTACATAAGGTCAGTTGTACTGATACTACACTCTACACTTTTTGTGCAGATCCTTGTACGGGACCATATGTTACACCCCATATTTTCGTACATGAAAATATGCCATAAATAAATTAATGAGAGCCCGATAGTGAGATGTCACGTCCCACAGTATTATATTACGGTGATGTTACGCTTTGCAGTATTAAGTTACGACAATGTTGCACCCTGAAGTATTGTACGTTAAAATTTCATTTTCAGATAACCGACGTAGACTCGGGGATGAGATCATCTTGACGTTAACGTACTTATGCTATTTATAACAGGCGATAAATAAGTGTTATGAAGGATAAAGGGGTACACAGATTAAAGAAAACGAGTTTCGTTGGAAGTTATCAATTTGGAATAAAATACGGGTCGAGCGATAACACCCGATGATTATGAACTAGTACCATGCAAGGTACCATATGACCACGGTAGTATAATATATAAAGTATATATGAAGTATTTTTAAAAATAAATAGAATTCTAAGTAATTTGTGATAATTCTTAAATTTTGCGGGTAATAGATTAACCGGGTAACGAAACACTACCCGGTTAACTAATAAATAGATAAATTTAATCAATTATCCTAAAGAGTAACGTGGAAACATGCCACACATTAAAAGAATGACTCTTCAAGTCATTTCATTATGTGGCAATGTAACATAAAGTCATTTAATGACTCATAAGGAACATGAAAGCACAAAAACCAAAATCTGATTCTTAAAGTTTCAAAAAGACCTTTTGTCTTTAGAAACCAAACAAAAATAAACGTGAGTGAGATTCTTAAGGAACTAAAAACTTAAGAATCAAATTTTTCAACATTTCAAAGCCAAAACGTGAAACCAATTTCAAAGCCAAAAACGCAAAACCAAACAATCGCATGTTGTCTTGAACCAGAGAATCAATTTTGTCAACACTTCAAAAATTTCGATTGAAATTCAGTTCAAATTTCAATCTAAGATTCAAGCATAGTTTTCGTTCAAGAATTTTGCAGAAACGGGTATGTTAAGACTATCCCTTCTTTCTTTTGGCACGATCCATACGATATGAATGAAACGTGCAAATGCACAAATTCCATAAGTGACTCTACTCATAGA